TCGAGCGCTGCCAGAAACTGGGAGTCCAGCTTCGTCCACACATGAAGACCCACAAAACCCTGTATGGATTCATACGCTCATGCATAGACACGCACACAGCACGTGCTTACAGACTTGCTGTGTATACAGGATTCTGATGAGGTCTCTGTGTGTGTCTAGTGAGTGTGCTGACATTATGACGGGTGGATCACAGAGGTGCATAGTGGTTTCCACCCTGGCAGAGGCCTTTTTCTATGCTGACCATGGATACGAGGACATCCTCTATGCCTACTCTATTCCCTTTGATAAGGTTCTCTCAGCTCACACTTTAAATGTGTCCTTGTTTTATATTCTGTGAAATCATAAAAGCTGTAAAACATTAGAAATGGAAAAATATATTATTAATAACTGAGCCTGCTGAAAATGTATCAACTATGAATCATACTTAGTAATATTATCACTAGCAACAATACATATATGTAAATATATGATACATGTATATCGCCATAGCACTTGCATGTAAAATAGCTCCAGTTCTATGCCATTACTTTGACATAATTTCTCATTACTTTTATATTTGTTAGTTGTTAATGTCCCAGCTGTGCTCTCTGTGCCATTTCTAATGTATGTCTCTGTGTGTCTTTAGGTAGAGCGTTGTGCAGCCCTGTCAGAGAGACTGGATCTCTTCCAGATTTTATTGGACCATCCTGATGCTTTGGAGCAGCTCCGAAAAAGACCCCTGAAAGATGGCCGGCAGTGGCACGTCTGGCTCAAACTCGACTGTGGCAATGGGAGAGGTAAACGTGCAGGGAAACCGCAATAGATTTAATCATAAGTGCCTGAGCTACACTTCACTTCTCTGTTAACACGAGGATTGATCATGTGTCGGCTCTTTGTCATAGCTGGCGTCCTGCACTCGGAGCCAGGAGCGCTCAAACTGGCTGAAGCCATCGCTAAGACGGAGGGCGTGGAACTGACAGGAGTGTACGCCCACTGTGGGAATACCTATTACTGCACAGGAGTTGAGCAAATACAAGCTGTTGCCCAGGAAACCACCAAACTGACTCTGCAGTTCATGGAAAAGTAAGCTGAAAGCTTAAAAAAATACACTGACTCATTAAAGCTGCTCTAATCAATAATTTTATCTCACTGGCTATTTAAGAACGCACACGACATAACAGCTGTTGCTCATACTCTTGAAAATTAGTTTTTATGAGCAATTTTAACATCTTTGTTTTGGTTTCACAGCCCACAGGTTTTTTGTATTGAGTCACGCAGCTTTGTTTCCAGAAGCAACAAATAAATCATACATCATATCTAAAAA